AGCTGGCCCTAACCGAGCTTTGAGAGTAGACTTGACTGTCAAACCGACAGAATGTAACTGACTTGCAGATTTCTGAGATTCAGAATACTTAGAGTCAGTTGTCTTGGACCTTGAGCTCCTAGAAGCTGAGTTTCTTCCTTCTGAACTCGTATTGTTAAGAGCGGGAGTAGTCTGAGGCCCTAGTCTCTCAAAGATAGACGGGGAATGGTTGGTCTCCTTTGGTTCTTCATGTCTTGCTCTCTTCTCTTTTCCGTCGTCACTAGAACTGAGCCTTCTTCTCTTTAGAGGCATAGAAACAGACTCCTTTGTACTCTTAGAGCTAGCACCTTGCGTCATGGTTCCTGATTGATCTGCCTTTGGTCTCCATTGTTGGTTGCTAGTTTCCACTTTCTTTGTAGCACTTGCCTTCCTTGTCCATTGTAATATCTCCTTGACATTTCTGGCCTTTGTTTCATGTTCCTCCAGAGCGTCAGAAAATACCATTCTTTCGTATATTGTTCCTTTCTTTTCCACACCCTCCCCTGTTGCAATTCCTTTCCCTTTGCCTCTTTTTGAAGTCATGGATCCAACCTTTTATTTTTCTCTACTCTTCTCCTTTTTACCCTTCTTCTCTGGCTTGATTTGGAAGGGACAGTTACTCTGGTCATGGGTGAGTCTTTTACAAGTGAAACACACCTTAAGCAACTTTTCATAGACAAGCTCTGTGGGGCAGATTTCTCCAGTAGACATCCTGGCTATCTTTCTAAACTGTAAAGGCTCATCAGCCTTAATGATGACCTGAGCTCTTGTAAAGGCTCATCAGCCTTAATGATGACCTGACCTGAGCTGGAGTTTTTGGCATGGAGCTCCACTTCTTCAACCTTACCAAGAGGCGCCATGAGAGTATCAACAACTTTTTTCTTCAATAGGTGAATCGGCAGCTCCTTATTCCAAATCTAGTATGGAATGCGGTTGAGAAAAGACGAATCTGGGTGAGGTTTCCATTGATCAACCGTTACAATCCATTTGTTGACGAACCAAAGGCCTTTCGTGAGAACATAGTTCAAGTCGTTCTCAACCGTTATATACTTATATATATTGACATATGTTTGGTTTTAATAAGCAAATTTAATTTTCATGTATGAATGTGTATAATCAGAGTTAGATTGCATATAGATCTTTAATTTTGTTTCTCTCCCACAAACTCACGCACGATTTAGTTGAAGGGAAGCGTGAAGATAAATACAAAGATGGCTTATCAAGTTCACTCATCAAACCGTTAGGTATTTTCTAGAACTAGCATACCAAGTATCCAGATTTCGCCAAAATATTCGATTAATCCCGAATGTGAGAAAACCTCTAGCAAGGTGTTTGTTGCAAGCCCACCACAAATAAAGTATTCTAGCCGAATATAAAGTGATCGAATGGTCTATGCGCAATGTTTGCATACAATATAATCGATTCCAGACTATAGAGCAACCATTAAATTTTCATCTCTGCTAGATGTAAAATTTTACTATTTTGGAAAGAAAACTAAACTTAAACAAGAAACCAACTCAAACAAGAAACTATCCTACAAGAACATAAGTCATTTTCTGACCATTTTTCCAACCAAATAAATGGTCGAAATTTTTTCCCGACCAATTTCCGAGCTTCTTTCAACCCATATACAATAATAAGTAGTCGGGTTTTGGCCAGAAATTCCCAACCAAAAAAATGTCGTCGGGAAGTTGTCTGAGTTTCCCAACCAATTTTCGAGCAAATTAAAGTCACCAGAGTGTTGATTAGAAAATAATCAAAAAATGGTCGAAACAAAATTCATAATATTGCTGTTACCGGACATTTTAATGCATTTGATTYTGGTGAGGAATTGGTCAGAAAATGACTTTGAATTTCCGTCGATATTCTAACAAATTTAA